AGAGAGAGAGAGAGAGAGAGAGAGACAGAATGTATAAGTGGGGGAGAGAGGCAGAGGGAGAGGAGAATCTTAAGCAGGCTTCACACTCAGTGCATAGCCTGACTCGGGGCTCAATCCCATGACCCTGGGTCCTGACTTGAGCTGAAACCAAGAGTTGGACTCTCAAACTGACTGAGCCACCCAGGCATCCCTGTCTTTACTTTTATGCAGGAAACCTGAAGAGACTGTGAACCCACTTGTTACTGTAACTTAAAACCTATAGAAGCAATCCTTGAATTAGATTCTTAGTGGTTAAGCCCCACTGATGTAAGAAGTGAGAAGTTCTTTCTGCAGCGTCCCAAGGACCCAGAGTTTTATTCTTTACATTGAGATGGGAATTTTGAGGTTTAAACCTATCATTCTCTTATTTTAACTTATCCAGTGCCTTTATAAAAGCCATCTTATATATGGTTTGGCATTCCTTCTTCCTGTTCAGTTGGCCTAGGCCAACAGCTATCCAGTCCACTAGAGTGCCACCTGCAATGGGCACAGAGTCTTAGATGCCCATTAACTGGAGGTGTTAACTTGATTGGCCATTCTGTCACTGTGTACAGTGTCTTTTAACCCTGTTTACAATGTGAACAGGAGTCTTACTGCTTTTGTGCCCCAACTCAGCTAAAGAGCCAATTTCCAAATATCCCTGTAGGAATCGATACCTGCAATTTATTCTCTGCTGCCAATTTTTAAAAATCTATTATTATTATTATTATTATTTTTTTTTGGCCATAGGTTACAGGAAACAGCTATGGTAAATACAAATGAAAAGGGATTGGAGTAAGAGTGACATAGATCTTCCAAATGCAGGAGGAGTTGAATTGGCCAAGCCTTAGTGGGGGATGGGAACAGCATGGCTCTAGAGACTTTGTAGACCTCCAGGGGGCTGCCATCAGATCATCGAGCAGCAGATTCCTGGTGTCTCTATTCAGGATTGAAATTCCCAGGATAGTACCTCTCTCATTGGGTTATTATGAGGATTTAGTGAGTTAGTACATAAAAGAACTTACTTAGACCATTGCTTGGCACATAATAAACTCTCAGTAAATAAGTATATAGAACTCTTAAGTAGATGAGAAAAAGACAATATTCTATACTAATACAGCACTTTCAAAACCCAAAGTATTAGTTTCCTAGAGCTGCTACAACAAAGTACCACAAATTGAGTGGCTTAGAGCAACAGAAATTTATTCTCTGACAGTTTTTAGAGGCTAGAAGTCTGAAATCAAGGTGTTGAAAGGGCCATCCTATCCCTAAAGCCTCTGGGATCCCTCCTTGCCTCTTCCAGCTTCTGGTAGTCCTAGGCATTCTTTGGCTTGTGGATGTATCATTCCAATCTCTACCTCCATTGTCACATGATCATCTTCTGCTTGCATGTCTTCACAGGACATTCTTCTTCCCCCGCCATCTCTACTTCCTTTTCTTGTAAGAGAGTCCTATTGCACACCTAATTGAGTGTGACCTCATCTTAACTTGATTACATCTTCAAAGACCTAATTTCCAAATAAAGTCATGGATACTGAGGGTTAGGACTTCAATATATCTTTTTTGGGGGACACACTTCAACCCACAACACCTATCTTAACCATTTCTCCCTCTTGTGTCCAAGTGTAGACTTTGTTAATCAGAGCACTCTACCTAGTGAGGCCTCAGAATCCTTTTTACAACCAGCTGTAGAGTTGATACTCTATGATGAAATCAGTTTACAATCTTATACTAGTCTTTTGTAAAAGGACTTACTTTGAGTTAAATTATAAACACTGACACCAAAGCAAGGCTTAGGAAAAACATGTAATATGTTAGTATGTGTGAATATTGGTGATATAAAAAAATTCTTTTTGAAAAACTATGTTATTAACATAAGTTCATTTTAATTACATCATCTGTTGGCAGATTGGCCATTGTATATGAAACAAGACTTGACTGTTTAATTTTTAAATTTCTTTTTTAGACATTAGAAAGTTTATTTCCAAAGAAATTTGTTGGTAATGTTTGTTTCTTCTTATATCTTTTAAAAAAATCTCTCCACAGATAAAATAATTGTGGGTAGCTTTATGGGATACCTAAGAATCTTTAACCCCCATCCTGTAAAAACAGGAGATGGCGCTCAAGCTGAAGATATGCTTCTAGAAGTGCATCTACGAGATCCAATACTACAAGTGGAAGTAGGAAAGTTTGTTTCGTAAGTACAGCCCACTAATTCTGGCATTTTATCTTACTTAGAGTGTCATTTCCCCACTGTGTCATTTTTGTGGATTCTTAAATGAAAAAAAGACCATCTATGAGTTAATATATTTTTTGGATATTTTTACCTGGGTGTGTGTTCCTCATGTACTGAACTTTTTTTTTTTTTTTAATATGGAAAACAGCACATTTAAGAGAATAATTTAGGAATTTTTTTTTTTTTTTTATAGAAACAGACTAAGATCCCTGACACATCAGAGGTTTAAAGGAAAAGAGAGAAGCTTTTGAAAATAACCAAATAAAAAAAAAAAAAAAAAAAAAAAAAAAAAAAAAAAAGAAAATAACCAAATAAAGAAATAGAAAGTAATCACTTACTTAAAGCACTAATTGTACAGATTATGTAAATGTCTGTTTAAATAATTAGACAAAGTAGCAGTTTGGTATTTGGTAAATAACTTTGAAGCTTTAAAGTCAATTAGTACTTATTTGGTGTAGAAAGGTCCTTAGTTTCTTTTGTTTAATTTTTAAATTAAATTAGTTAATTTACTTTTGAGAGAGAGAGAACATGCGTGTGCACAAGTCGGGGAGGGGCAGACAGAGAGAGAGGGACAGGGGATCTGAAGCAGGCTCCATGCTAACAGCAGAAAGCCCAATACAGGACTTGAACTCATGAACTATGAGATCATGACCTGAACTGAAATCAGATGCTTAACCAAATGAGCAACCTACGTAGCCCTATCTTTCCATTTAAAAAAAAAAAATTTAATGTTTATTTATTTTTGAGAGAGAGAGAGAGAGGGAGATGCAGAATCCGAAGCAGTCTCCAGGCTCTGAGTTGTCAGCACAGAGCCGGAAGCAGGGCTCGAACCCACAAACAGCGAGATCATGACCTGAGCTGAAGTCAGACACTTAACCGACTGAGCCACTAGGCGCCCCTTTCTTTTCATTTTTTAAAAGAATGAAGTGCTGTTATAATCATTCTGTTCAGTAGTTCCAAGTAGGGCTGTTATCTACATGGTCACTTGTTGGAAGAGAGGTTAACATTAATGAGTGGATACTGAACTGGCATTAATTAACTAGTACTGTTTCATTAATTTTATCTATACGATGTGATCTGTATTTAAAGATAAGGAAACTAGCTAGAACTCAGAGCTTTAGGTCACACAGCCTGGATTCAAGACCCAGGTCTATCTGACTCCATACTCTATTACCTTTCCATGACATCATGTTCTTTTCCTGTGCATGGTAGAAAAATTGTTTTGAGTGTTCAGGGCAATAAAATTTTTTTGAAGTCAATATTGAATATGTGATAATTGTATATATTTGCATTTTCTGGTAGTAGAGTGAATGGTGAGCATTTATATTCATTATAATGATATTTTTCAGGTATTATCTAATAGAATTTATATTTTGTAAATGAGAGACTAACACCCTGAAAGGTTAAATGATTACACGGATACCAAGGTGCAGAGTCAGGACCCCACTCCAGGTCTTCAGATTTCAATTATAGTTCTTTTAGTTTAGAACAACCAGAGTCTGTATCAGAGGTCATGCCTTGGAGGACTGCTTGCAGATGTGTTTTAAATTTAAAAGAGTTGCTGATATTTAAGAACCAGGGATTTCACATAAAATCCCTGCTTTCTTGCTTTTCTTGGGGAAAAAAAAAAGTGGAGATTTGGCCACAAGCCCAGAACTGAGTGGTGGTTGCTTCCTTTAGTCAGGCCCCACTCTGCAGTGGACCACACCATTTACACTCTTCACTCATTTCCATCTACTGACCTGACCCTTGAAGACTGGATTTAGGATTTCTAGACTGTATTATGTCTTGGAAACTAGTTGATAGGGGCTGAGAAGTATATTGGTGACAGTGGCAGTTTAGTCCAAACTGACATATTTTCAGTGCCTTTAATAAAATTTCTGAGCTGGAAGTGACTTATACCATTTACTGATAATGATTAGCATTCTGTAGTGCTTTATACTTTACAAGGTAGTATCACATGATTTCATTTCATTTAATTGAAATGTCTTATTTTCCAGGATGGGAAACAGGTTCAGAAAGATTAACGTACTTGCCCAAGGTCACAGGTTAGTTAGCCAGAGAGACAGGTCCAGAACTTGGATCTCTGTATTATGAGAGAGCACTCATGAAGCGGCCTCTGCTTCTACTTTTTCTTGGAGGCTCTATTGGCTTCAACTGAAGGAAGTTCCATGAGGCAGAGTCCTTGAGCCTCTGGGGTTGCCAAAGTGGTGTTTGTTGTTACATTTATTTTTCAGTTTCTAATATTATCTAGTAAGTTTTTAGTTAACTGATTATAGACTGTGGTTATAATCTCTTTTTAAAAGTATTTTGTATCTTTTTGGGTTACATCTGAAGTTAACATTTAAACTTTTAAAACTTTTCCTATTTTTCAGAGGTACTGAAATGCTTCATTTGGCTGTGTTGCATTCTAGAAAACTTTGTGTCTACTCTGTCTCAGGTAAGAAACATTTTTTTCTAATGTAGAATTTGTATTAAAAATGGCTTCTTAATATAAGAATAGATGCTTGTTTATGTTCACTTGCTAGAGAACACAAACAATTTGGTTGAAGATTTTCTTATCTTGGTTAACATTTTCCCTTGTTCATTTATTTTTTCAGGTACTTAGGCTATTGCCTTTTTTTTTTTTTTTTTTTAAATTTCTAGTAGAAGGTTCCTTATAATCTCCTTCCCAGGAATTGTGTCCAGGATTGCCCATGACTATTGGGGCCAATTCTGTATTCTTAGGACACTTGAGTGTTTTAAAAGACTTTTGTTTATTTTTTTATTTAGGTATAGTTGGAGCTCAGTGTTACATCAGTTTCAGGTGTACAGCATAGTGATTTCACTTCTCTGTATGTTATGCTATGCTCATCACAAGTGTAGCTACCACCTGTCACCATACAATGCTATTACAAGATCATTGACTATATTCCTTATGCTGTACCTTTTATCCAGGACACTTGAGTCTTAAGAAATGTTCAATAGCAACAACAAACTTCATTAGGTGCTGAGTCATAATGGTTTAAATTACCTTTTCTTTGGTGAACCTCAAGTGTCTCTTTACACTTCAAATTTCTTGGCTTTTGGTTGTTTTTACTCAGCCTGACCTGAAGGCACTTATTTGAGGCTTAATCAGATTTCATTCCCTAACATTTTTCTGTGGGTACAAGTATGATAGTTAATTGTAGTTTGGTTTTAGCACTTTGATTCTTATTAAATATGAAAGGTAACTTTAAAAAATTTTGTTTTAGTTATTAGATAAATTTTAGTTCAAGCTGAGTTACTTTAATAGATATCAATATTGGGGAAATTTTTTATTGGCACAATAAAGCTAAGTCTCTATGGGTCTATTCCTTATACAAGAAGTGTTCTTTGGAGTTTGCTGTAAAATTTAGCTTTAGGATTTGGATTTTTCACACTCATTCTCTTTATTTGGGCTTTATTTATATTTTGCATTTAATTTGAGTAATGATTTATATTTATTGTCACTGAGCTGGATATTCTTTTTTTTTTCTGGGTTATTATTATTATTATTATTATTTTGGTTTCAGGAGTAGAATTCAGTGATTCATTACTTACGTACAACACCCAGTGCTCATCACAACAAGTGCCCCCTTTAGCCCACTACCCATCTACCCCATCTCCCAGCCACCTCCCTCTGTCAACCCTCAGCTTGTTCTCCGTCATTAATAAGAGTATCTCTTATGGTTTGTTTCCCTCTTTTCTCTCCCCCCCCCATATGTTCATTTGTTTTGTTTCTTAAATTCCACATATGAGTGAAATCATATGGTATTTGTCTTTCTCTGACTGATTTATTTTGCTTAGCATAAGACATTCTAGCTCCATCCACGTGGTTGCAAATGGCAAGATTTCATTCTTTTTGATGGCTGAGTAATATTCCATTGTGTGTGTGTGTGTGTGTGTGTGTGTGTGTGTGTGTGTATACATATATACCACATCTTCTTTATCCATTCATCAGTTGATGGACATTTGGACTCTTTCCATAGTTTGGCTATTGTTGATAGCACTGCTAGAGATGTTGGGGTGCATCTACCCCTTCAGATCTGTATTTTTGTATCCTTTGGGTAAATACCTGATAGTGTAATTGCTGGATCATAGGGTGGTTCTATTTTTAATTTCTTGAGGAACCTCCATATGGTTCTCTAGAGTGGCTGAACCAGTTTGCCTTCCCACCAACAGTGCAAGAGGGTTTCCCTTTCTCCCCATCCTTGCCAACACCTGTTGTTTCTTGTGTTGCATATTTTGCCATTCTGACAGGTGTGAGGTGGTATCTCACTGTGGTTTTGATTTGTATTTCCCTGATGATGAGTGATGTTGACCATCTTTTCATGTGTCTTTTAGCCATCTGAATGTCTTCTTTGGAAAAGTGTCTATTCATGTGTTCTGCCTATTTCTAAATTGTATTATTTGTTTTTTGGGTGTTGAGTTTGATAAGTTCTTTATAGATTTTGAATACTAATCCTTTATCAGATATGTCTATGTCATTTGCACATATCTTCTCCCATTCTGTAGGCTGCCTTTTAGTTTTGTTGATTATTTCCTTCACTGTGCAGAAGCTTTTTATCTTGATGAAGTCCTAATAGTTCATGTTTGTTTTTGTTTCCTTTGCTTTCAGTGACATGTCTGATAAGAAGTTGCTATGGCTAAGGTCAAAGAGATTGCTGCCTATGTTCTCCTCTAGAATTTTGATGATTTCCTGTCTCGCATTTAGGTTATTCATCCATTTTGAATTTATTTTTGTGTATGGTATAAGGAAGTGGTCCAGTTTCATTGTTCTGCATGTTGCTGTCCAGTTTTCTCAACACTATTTGTTGAAGAGATTGTCTTTTTTTCCATTGGATATTCTTTACTGCTTTGTTGAAGCATAGTTGACTATATAGTTGTAGATCCATTTCTGGGTTTTCTATTCTGTTCCACTGATCTATGTGTCTGTTTTTGTGCTACAAAAACAGTAGCATACTGTCTTGGTGACTACAGCTATGTAATATAGCTTGAAATCCAGAATTGTGATGCTTCCAGTTTTGTTTTTCTTTTTCAGGATTGCTTTGGCTATTTGGTGTCTTTTGTGGTTCCATACAAATTTTACGATTGTTCTAGCTCTGTGAAAAATGCTGGTGGTGTTTTGATAAGGATTGCTGAGCTGGATATCCTAAAGCAGTGTCTTTTTGGGGTTGAAGGTCTGTTAGCTTTCTAAGGCAAGCTTGATAACCTGGCCTATGGTGTATGGTAGGCATATGTTGACTGCACAAGTGAACTAATTTCTGGGTGGGGCTGAGGTAATTGGTAGTGGCTCTTTATTACTCTGTTATTTTTCTTCTTCCTTCTTTTTTTTTCCCTTCTGTTACCACTATCATTTTCTTTTCCACTTTTTTGTTTACATCAAGAGCCCAATATAGTACCTCTCTGTGTCATTGGTAAACCGCTCCCATTGGTTTCATGGTAACAGATGTTGTTCTTCCTAGTGATAGGGCAAATATTTAGTTTTCCAGAGTAAATGGAGAAGATGTGATATAGGTTACTTTATTACATTAATCTAGTTATTTCTCCGTTAACTGTGAGGTGATACTATTAACTGGGTTACACAGGACATGGAACAGAGGAAGTTGCACGCAATTATCGCTGAATACTTCCAGGGAATTGGTCCCTTCTGAAGGCTCTAAGAGGGCAGGAGAGGGAAGGATCCTACAAACTAAAAATTGGGTAAGACTCTTGGTCTTCTCTGGTCCCATTTGAACGATGGCTCAGAAAGTCAGAAGCTTTTGAGTTTCCCTGGGGTGTAAGGCATAGATTAGTGATAAAATGTGTGTTCATCAAAAAGGCCTGCTTAAAGAAACTGGCATGTTTGGTCACAACTTGTTTATGAGACATTGGTATTTTCCTTCAAATTAGTGTTGAAAATGAAAGTTATTTGTCATGGGAATGGTGATTTTTATTGCTCTTTTATTCTTTGTATTCGTTTACAACCTTTGTATACTCTAGGGACAAGGAGTTCTCCAAACAACGTTCCCTTATGCCCCATCTCACTTCCCTTTTCTGTCTCTCATTTCTTCAGTCTCTTATTATCGGAAGCTGACAGTTTGTGTATTTTTTCTGACTTGGCTTAAATTGAGAAGCAGAGAAGTTAATGTTTTTGTTCTCTTGAATATGTTTCTTGAAGTTCCAGACTGAATTTTTACTTAGATTTTACTGTAACAGGGGAAGCATAAACATTTTTTAGTTTAAGTAAAACCACTGCTGTCAACAGATGAAAGTATTAGCTGAACTTGACATGCTCATTCTCAACTGTCTCTTCCCCACATATTTCTTGTTTTCTTTCATGTGCTGTGTGCTTCTAAAAAAGATTTGAGACAAACTAGGGGAGACCTTCTGGACACACCAAACAACCTTCATAGTCAGAGGCTGCTGTGCTGACTTCTTTTTGGAGGGTGATATGTCATCAAATGCATGCTTAATGTAGAGAAATAGCAAGGTCTTGCTGAGCTGAAGTTAGCCCATCTTATCATACTTTGGTAAAGGAAAAGCATCACATAGCCTCTCAGATTCCTTTCTGATGGGCTTCAGTTTCTAAATAAATGGTTACAGATGTGTGAGCTTAAGTCATCCTGATGATGTCCTCTTAAATATTCTTTTCCAAATATTGTGTACTTCTTTTTTTTTTTAAGGTTTTTTTTTTTTAACGTTTAATTATTTTTGAGTGAGAAAGAGAGCATGAGCGGAGCAGAGAGAGAGGGAGACACAGATCCGAAGCAGCCTCCAGGCTCTGAGCTGTCAGCACAGAGCCCGATGTGGGGCTTGAATCCATGAACCACGAGATCATGACCTGAGCCAAAGTTGGACACTTAACCGACTGAGCCACCCAGGCGCCCCAAATATTGTGTACTTCTCATCAAGTAATTGCTAAGCGTTTGACGTATTTATAGAATTTTAATGTTTGCTGTGATTGAAAAAAAATGTGGTTTTTTTACTTTTGATAGCCTTCTATAATCTAATTTGATTATTTAACACAATGAACCTTTTAATTGTCTCTGTAACGGCTTTTATTTCATTTAACTTCATTAGATTCCTCGGCGGTTATCTAAAATTGCACCGAAAACTGTAGTTGGTGGCCTTTGATTTTTCCAGAGAATTTTTTGTTTAAATCAAATCTTCTTTAAACAAGGCCAACCGCATCAATGTTCTGATACTCATTTACTTTCTAATTGCTGAAACTTTATGTTAATTTTAGCTATAAGTAGACTATAGATACTATACTCAGTCTGTATATCCCAGAACAAAGCCTGTGTAAGTTATTTTAATCTTGTATCATTGATACTTCTCTAGGAAAAAGTGGTCAGAAATTTTAGATTTTTCAGATACTACCTTTATTTCAAAGTAGTATCTAAGGAAGATAAATTGTCTTTTGTTCTCCATAGTTGCACTATTAAGTTTGAGAGTGCTATTACCTGAAAATTGAAAATTACCAATGCCTTTGCAGCTTTTTCAGAACACAAATCCTAGTGTCATTTCATGCCAAGTTTGTGAAGTATTGACTGCTGACCCCTGTGTTCACTGACCATTCAGCTAGTAGGCATGTGTAAGTGCATTCCTTACTCAGAGGGGTTGATCTGGTTTTAGGTATAGGATGAAATTTGTAATTTCTGTAGAGACAAACCAAATGTTTCTAGGAACTTCTGTTTCTGGTTTCTTGGAGGCTAGACCTCTCCTTAGGTTGGGGCTGTGAGTTATTTAGTGTGTTTTTCTTTTTCTTTGGCCCATGTGGTTGTGATTACCCCTCAGTTTCCCTGGACCTTACTGATTTTGCTGCCATTTAGATTCCACAAAGCTTTCATCTCCTATCAGGGTTAGCTGGCAAATTTGAGTCTTTTTCTTTCTTTCTTGTTCTGTTGGTTTGTTAGGTCTGTTGTTACCATTCTCAGGGGCATAGATCTGAGTAGAAGTGATTTTTCTCCATGAAATCCTCCCTTATTCGTTTTCTCTTTCAACCCTTCACCTTCCAAATGAAGAAGAAGCCAGGTTGAGAAAGATGGAGGTGGAAATGATGTTTTTGATGGCTGGTTTATTTAGGGAAATTGTCATTAGCTTACCAAATTTTTTGAAAGTTTGAAAGTTATGAGATGGTGGACAACTAAGTACCAGGATATATAGTGCTAACTCTAATAAAGACTTAGTTTGAGTACTTTGTCCTTTATCAGCCGTGTGATTTTGGGGGAAATTTCTCAAACTGTTTTTGAACTTAGTGTGCCTGACTTCTAAAATGGAAATAGAAATATTTTGGTACTTACAACCTCCATGTACATTGGTAAATCCTTTTGGGCAAGAACAAATAAATGCTCATGTATAAATATGTATGCACATACGTACATACAGACATATTCTTAGATTGTTTTACTGATCTACTATCCAGTTTGGGGACTGCTTTATATTTAAATTTTTTCTTTAAATTTTCCATTTTTGAATGAAAGACAAAGATGCTTCTTAATGGAAACAGTTGCATTCTGAATCTTTTTTCTTTCTATCACCTCTTTTAACTGTAATGTTCTTGCCTGATTACTGGGGTATAGCTCCAACTGTAAACTACTCTAGAAAACCTAACAACCAGAGTGTAAAATATGGATTAAGAATCTTTTCAAACTTGGAAAGAAATAGAGAGTGAATATAGCACATACGATCTATTAAATGCAGAGAAAGTATTTCTTTTTGTTTTGAAGGAGATTCTTCACAGTCTTCAAATAAAACTTATCCTATTTACTTGTTAAGGCAAACTTAGAATATCTCTTCATTAAATTAGAATATACTGTACTAGGGGCTTGAGTATTTTGAGAGTTTGGACAGGAAACTGAATTGCTTGAAAGTGTGGGGAATTTTTTCTAAGACACTTTGAATCATGACTTTGCTCTATTGTTTAAGTATAAGGAGCTTAACCTCATTTATTTCGGAACTGAAATTGGATGGTTTTGTTTTTATTTAAATAATTACACTTTACTCAGATAAAATGGAAATAGATAATAAATGTCATCCATGGTAGTATTTCATCTAATGATGTAATCTAGCCAAGACTTAAATTGTTTTAACTGTGCTGGCACTCTATATCATCAGTGTGCTAATTGTTTGTAATACATATTGTTTTAGTACTTTTTCATTTTAAATTTCACTGAAATTGAATTACTTAGAGATGGTATAGAGGATGAGAGGAAATTAATACTTTTAATGTAAACAAATAACAAAACAATTCTTTAATTTTTCCTCCTTAGGAACCTTGGGTAATGTGGAACATGGGAACCAATATCAGATCAAATTAATGTATGAACATAATCTTCAGAGAACAGCCTGCAATATGACTTATGGATCATTTGGTGGTGTAAAAGGTAATTTGCATTAATCTTGAGTATGCTATTGCAAGTACCAGATTTTGGGTTTTGGCCATATAAAAATGGAGGATCACGAGGTATGAAATCTCAGAGTTAAACATAGTTTATTGAAACCCCTATATTCAAATAGTCAAGCAAAATAACGAGGAAAGAAAACGTTAAACAACAAATGTGTTTGATTTTCACATAATCATTTTTGTATGGTCTACAGAGATATTTCTAAAAGTGTCTTTTCATCAAATTTTGTCTTCATATCATGAGCTGACTGAAATTGAGGTTTTTTGGGTAAACTGTGTGATTGCCTCTCTCAGTGGAAGAAGGGGTTAATCTCACTGATAGAGTCCCTCTCCTACTTGTGATAGGCAGGGTGAAGCTGCAGAAAGAACACTCTCCCCACCTCACCCACTTCCAGGGCCACAACCAGGGTTGTGCTGGTGGTTGTGCTGGTTGTGCATGAGGGCACCTGGACTAAGGATAAGTGGAGACTGAAATGCAGACCTGATCCTGCTCATCAAGCCATGTGCCTTGGCCAGGAATAAACCTCTCCAGAGGAGGGGTGCCTTTTTAAATTTCACAACAGCATTATATTTACCAGTGGGGTTGGGTTCCTCCCACCTTGGGGGTATCTTTTTCTAAGTAGCATGCAGCCACGTACAGCCTGCCCACCCTAATCCCAGAACTTCCTGAGTTACTAGGGCTTGATGCTTGCTTGGGTACACTGTTACTGTTGGCACGGGAGGGTTTTTATTTACCACCTAGCTCCTCTCACTTCACTGTGACAAGGTCATAGAGAAGCTGCTGGTACTGGAGTGAGAACAGGAAACCAGGTAGTGACACTTACCTGTGTGGTTTTGTGTGTGTATGTGTGTGTGGCACCTGTGGAACGTGAACTAGGGATTTCATAATATTTTAGCTCTTTCTGAGCTCATATTTTTTATGAGTTTATTGTTTAATCATTGTATTAAAAATGATCTGTGTTAGATCTGTCTTTAGTGATGTGAAAAAAACAACTATTTTGGAAGTATCCTTCATTTGTGTGAATTTACTTCTTTTCATACATAGAGGTAAAGGTGAGGAAGAATGGATTTGAGCATATCAATTAACAGGAATATTTCAGGTGGTGGTGTACAAATAAATATTTTGCATAAAGTGATATGAAACAAAACACTTGGCTGGATTGCAGAATTGCTTAAGTTGAGTAATAGGAATGTTTGGATTGTTTAAGGAATATGGAAGATGTCCACAGTTGGATGAAGAGGGGAAAGAGCTATAATTTGATGAGAGGCTAACTTTTATCAGTGATGTATCCCTTCCTAACCTTAGCTGTTAGAACTGATTTTCACTGTTCTTTAACGTTTATTTATTTTTGAGACAGAGAGAGACAGAGCATGAATGGGGGAGGGTCAGAGAAAGAGGGAGACACAGAATCCGAAACAGGCTCCAAGCTCTGAGCAGTCAGCACAGAGCCTGACGCGGGGCTTG